TATATCAATGAGAACGAGCCAGTTTAAAAATAGCTAAATATCAAAATAGACATTTGACAGAGAAGGCGCACGATCGGGCATCGTCAGCCGTCAGAGGATGAGAGTGACATATAGATTAAGAGTGGAAACCAGAGGACGAGGCACCCGAGGTGCCCACGACTTGGGAGAGCATTTGGGCTGTTTCTTACAAAGGTGAAGGTGCGTCCACCACATGACCAGGGCTGCCTGGAGCCTCCTACCAGGGAGAATAAAAACGTGTGTCCACGTAAAGACCACGTGTGCACGGGGGACAACCCAGACAGCACCAGACAAACCCAGCTGGCGACCAGACAGGCCGACCAGGTGGGCACGTCCACAGGGGGCTCTGCTCAGCAGACCCAGCTGCCCCACGGTGAGCGGGAAGAAGGTGAGGCCAGGGGACAGTCAGGCCAAGGGACGCGCCTCCCTCTCAGTTCTCCTGCACTTGGTGTCATTGCTTTCTTAAGTGCTGAAAAGATTTACCAGTGAAGTCATCGGGCCTAAAATTTTCTTTGTTGGGAAGTTTTAGATTTTAATTTACTTCACGGGTATACAAGTCTCCTTTGTGGTTCTATTTTATTAAATTACTTTTCAAGAAATATTTTATGGGATTGTCAAATTTCTTGGCCTAGAGTTGCCAGGTTTTAATTTTTTTTAGCTTTGTTACAGAGTTTTCTGTATGGAGATCTTGTGGTGTTTACTAGATCATTCTTAGTATTTGGGAACTTTTGATGCCACTCGTCTCTTTAGAATGTTCATGCTCATACTCTTTGTGGCTGATAAATCAATGTGCCATTGACTTTATATATCCAAAAGTATATATATATCCAAAAGTCCTTCTGGATTTGTTCTTTCTAATAATTTATTTTTAGCATTTTAAATGTATTTTATGTACAAAATGAGACTGAGAGTAAGTCTAGTTTTCTTTCATATCAGTGCTTATGACTTTTCATCTTACACTTCTCTCTTCCGTCTTCCCTCCCTCCCCAGCACCCTCCTCCCTCCCTCTCTCCCTTCCTTTCTTCTCTTTTTTACATTTTTAAAAAATATTTGGCCTTATTGCACAGGTTTGGACCCTCATAGATGCTGAACAGAGGTGATTATAGTGCACAGCTTAGAGGAAAAGGGTTTGGCATTTCGCCTTTAAATGTGAGTTTATTATATTTTTATAATATGCTTTTTAACAGTCTTTTTTTTTTCTTTTTCTGTTTTATTTTTGATGCTGGCGATCAAGCCCAAGGCCAGGTGCATATCTAAGTCTATGCTACACCCAGGAGCCAGGTCCCCGGCTGCATCGATGCTTTGAAATACACAGTGAAATGGTTACTCTACTCAAGCAGATGAGCATCTCACATGGTCGCCTTCCTGTTGTGTGTGTGGCAACGGCACCTAAATCTTTGGGTAGCTCCCTGCATCCAACACAAGGTGGGACCAGGCAGTAGTAGCTGTGGTGCTGTGCTGGACCCTCCTCCTGGCCGGCTCCTCCTTCCCATAAGGGTGTCTCTGGGTCTGTGGGTCCACAGCTCCCTCCCCTCACCCCACGCTGCCCTGGGAACCACAGCCTTTCTCTGTGCATTCAAGCTTTTGCTTTTCTTTTTTTGTAGATCCCACACAAGTGAGACCGTGAGTCCCATTGTAGTCTGGTGTGTTACTAGTGTAATGTCCTCCAGGTCTGTTGTCCTGTCTCTGAGAGATGAATAATTGTATAACCAAATGATTTGATCTTGAAAGTGTTGAAATAGACAAAGCTTGTTACTCAGAGGAGGAAAAAGATGCGTGGGCTGATAAGTACCCTCTATCCAACTATGCTTTTCTCTTCAAAACCATAAGCCCTTCCTGAAATGTTAGAAACGTTAAAATTTTTCTACTCGTCTCTTTTTTAAAAATATTTTTTTAGTTGTAGTTGGACACAATATCTTTATTTTATTTTTATGTGGTGCTGAGGATCAAGCCCAGTGCCCCACGCATGCCAGGCGAGCGCACTACCACTTGAGCCACACCCCCAACCCCTCTACTCGTCTCTTAGAAGAATAACTGACTTGTGCCAGCCGGGAAATGCCCTGTCTCGCTCGGTCCCTTCTTCTTAACTAGGAAATCTGTCTCCAACAGAGAAAGGAGAAGACCCCAATGGGCAGCGTCTCCTCCGACTCACTGAAGAGGTGACAAGCTGAACACAATGGTTCCAACGCTTCCCTCGAGTGCCCAGGAGACTCCCCAGGGGACACCTGTTCTCAGGCTCCACCCCAGGCCCCTGGAACATTGCTTCACGAGGCCGTGGGCCAGCCCCGGCTGCTGCTTCTGTTCCTGGTGGGCTGTTTTGAGCTTGATGGAACTGGTTTATAGCTGACCTTTTGGGGGAGGTACTGTGCAGCCACCCTCATGACCCGCTGGGCAGCGGGGGTGAGCGTTGGCCTGCTCCGGCTCTGCTGTTAAGGTGTGCTCATGGTGGCTCTTGGTTATCTGTGTGTCTCTTCAGTGTCCTTTGCCCACTTTGGTTTTTGATCCCATTGGTGTATATGGGCCCCCATCGCAGTCACCATGGTGCCAGAAGTATGGGGCTGTGAATGGAGAATGTTCCAGACTGTCCTCTAAGATACTCCACCTGCAGCACACAGTCAAAGCTAGAGACTCTCCTGTCCCAGTCTCGGGGGCAAATGATTGCCCAGGACTGTAGTGGTTAGAAAGAGGTAAGGAGGGAACCTGACCTTGGGGGACCTCGGTGAATCCAAGACCTTGACAGGGGGTGGGCAGGGACGGGGAGGCGGAAAACTGGCTGAACTAAACCCTGATTGGCTGAGAACGGCTCTTGGCTATTGCCCTTGGCAAACCCGGCCACCTCTACCTCCCTGTCCAGCCCAACCCTGACGGTTCTCACCATGTTCGCCATCAGCCCTGGTCCAAGTCACAGCCTTGGGTCACTCTGCAGCAGCCTCCCGCAGCTGCCTGAGTGCCCACCCTCACTGTGCTTCCGTCCTGTCCACCTGGCTACTGGCGCACGTCCCCTGTGGCTTCCATCACACAGAAAGCGAACTGAAGTCCTTTTTGAGGTCCCGGCCTCCATGCCTGTGTGCTGGCCTGGCTAACTTTGCCGCCCAAGGCCTCCAACTCCTCTCTCTCCCGGCCTGGGGCCCTCTCTGGGGGCCTGGGACTCTCCAGTGTGTCCTCTCCCTGGGCTCTGAGTTGATGGTCACCCCATGAGGAGCAGCTCTCCTCTTGCTCCTCAGGACTCACATTGTCCTGTCACCTCCTTTCTAGAGCCGGTCCTGAGCCACCCTCTCCCCCTCCTCTTCTCATCATCTAAGGCCACCGGCGAGGGCTCAGTGTCCTGCTGTCTGCTCCAGACGCCTGGCTCCTGGTGGACATAGCCAGTCTGCGTGAATGAACGTGGGAAGGCAGGACTCCCACCCTGCCGCTCCACCTGGACGGGCCTCCTCTCGCCCCTCCTCCCACACAGGGTGTCCTCTCTTCTGGAGCATCTGCATGCAGAAGCCTCTGGGGACACAGTGTCCCTATGGATCAGAGCCCAGCATGGCTGCACAGAGCTTGCTGCACTGAGCACGCTCAGCCTGTCTTTTGTCCATGGGCGGGGGCAGGACCGAACCACGCTCAGTAGCCCGGAGGGATAGAATCCCCTCCAGAGGCTTCCTGCCCCTCTCCTGGCTGCCCGAGCAGCTCTGGGCAGGGCTCTTGAGGCCTTTCCAGCAAGTGGTGCCCTGCAGAGCCCTCTTGTGCAGAGCCCCTCGAGCGGCTCCCTCACACGTGCCCCTCCCCTCTCTGACCACAGCAGCCAGGGCTACCTGATAGCCACGTCCAGGTTGGGTTACACAGGCACGGCAGCAGTGCCATTGGCCACGATGACCAAGGCGACAAGGCTGAGTGACCTGGTGAAAGCCCCCTCGGGCTGGACTCCCCCTTGGCCGGCTGTTCACCACTGTGCCTGTTTCTATAATGAAAAAGGAGATCATTTCTGCTTTGAATGATGGCGGCTCCAGAAATGGTGAGTGAGGGCCGGGGAGGGGCGGTGCTGCCCGGAGGCGGAGGCTGCTGCAGGTGCCGCCCTCGGAGGGAGTTTTTCCATGAATTCTTACCCCTTTAGGAAGATAAACTGCCTCATCTGCCACAGGCTGATAATGAGCAGAAGCATCAGCAAGAAGCAAAGCCGAGCTCCGCCGCGCGCGAGCTGGTTAATTTTCTAAGATATTCCTCCAGGTCGCTCCCGCGATGCAGGGAAGTTGTTTGGCCCGCAACTCTTAGAGTGTGTCAGACCCTGTGGAGCCAGGCTCGCTGTGCGTGGCCGGTGGCTCCCTTTGGAATTTCAACGTCAGAACGGGCAGCGAGGAAGGAAGGGAGGGCAGATCAAAGGCCCCCGTTTGCAAGCCTGTGGGTTCTCCGGTCTCACCCGACACCGGGAGAGAGGCCTGCCATTTATCTACCTGTGTGCTCTGCCGTTTCCTGGCTCCTGGGCTCTCCTGGAGTCGGGGAGTGGCTGAGATGGGCCTCAGCCCTCCTGTCCTTGCCACGGCGTTCTCTTGGAGAAGAGCAGGTGTGGCTGCCCAGGTGTGACCGAGGCCAGAGCTCCTGGCTGCCTGGCTCTGTGGGGAGCACTGGGCCCCAGAGGCCCTGAATGCTCCCATCTCCCATCCTTAACTAGGTCACATCTGTGGGAGCCAGGAAAGGGCGTGTTTGGGGACACCGCGCTGCTGCTAACACGGTGGCGGGCGCCCTTCCCTGGTGCTGGCTACCTTTGGGGACGGGACCTCATGTGAGTGTGGAAACTTGTTGTTTGTGGCAGGAGTGTCACAGGGCCCAGGGGTCTGCTCATGGGGGTGGGTGAAGACAGTCAGAACGACTTTGAAAGTAGCTTCTCAGCTGAGGCACAGCAACACGGGACTGCTAATGACCAAGGGACATCTCTCCCCAAGAGCCTTTCGATTGATGCCAAGCAGGTTAAAAGGGCAGTGGGAAAGCCACTGTCGTACGGGAATCAAGTTTTTTTGCTCTTTTTTTCAACTCTGTGGCAAAAATAGCTTCTCTGTGGTTCAGAATAAACAACAACAACAAAAACCCAGATGTGGAACTGATCAGGATCAGATTTGAAATGTGACAAAGATACTTCTGACAGTGGAGCTACGGATGGGGAATGATGTCTCTGTTCTCCTCGGCTAAAGGAGGTGGAGGTGGAGGTGGAGCCAAACCTCAGAGGCCCTGAGATAGTCACCATGGGGGAAAACGACCCACCGGCCACCGAGGCCCCCTTCTCCTTCCGGTCACTCTTTGGCCTTGATGATCTGAAAATAAGTCCTGTTGTGCCAGGTAGGTGGAACCAGGTGAGAGGCTGTGGTGCTCACAGAAAGACGACGACTATGGCCGAGAGTCTCTCCTTACGTCCGCATGTCTGACAGCCGGCTGCCTGCCTTTCCCAGGGCTGCTGGGTCCCAGAGAGAAGGGGGACCAGGAGGGACTGTCTCCTTCAGCCGCTTGCTGACTTGCTGAAGGCAGGTGTTACCTCTCTGGTGGGAGGCTTTTGGAGACGGGGGCTCCACAGCTGTCCTGGTCAATCCTGGAGGGGTCAGATCCTGGCCAGAAAGCCTCGTAGGCCTCCAGGAAGTCCTGAGTAGCCGTGGCCCCCCGTCCTTCCAGAGAACTCTGCCTCTGACTGCCTTCCAGCCAGGACAGGGGAGTGAGTGGTAGGTCAGGCAAATGCCCATCAAGTTTGAAGTGTCTGCATTTGGTCCTGACGGAAGTCCGCCGACCCTTTTCTGTGTCACTGAAGTTTCTCTGCGTGTTCTTCCACAGGCTTTTGCCATTTCTCATTCCGGTTTCCCTCCGTCGGAGGCTCAGGCTGTCCCCATGTGCCAATATGATACATGGTGCTCTTCTCGGGGTCTTACAGGCAGACTTTGCCTGGGTCTAGGATGACAGGTTGGATGGATTCCTAGGAGGAGAAGGGCTGGGGCACCAGTTCACCAGCTTTCGGGCACCTCTCTCCCTTTCAGCACAGGGAGGCCAGCATGCCGCGCTCCCTGCTGAGCACAGGGTGGAGGCTGTGGCTCTGCTAGCGGCCAGGGGCTCCTTCCCAGAGACCATTTGCACCCCTCTTACAGAGAGGCTTTTGGCTTTTCACTCTGGTCCTGTCCCCAGGACATACAGGGTGGGGTGGGGCTGCCGCAGCTCCACAGCACCTTGGAGGCAGAGGAACTGCCGGCAAACGGGGGCTGATGCAGTCTCCCCCTCGGTGTCCGTCTTGATCCCACACTGGGAGTCAATTTCTAAATCTAAACATACACACAGCAGGTCACACTTGGGGTTCCCGCAGACTCTTTTAATGGTGGACGTCTCAGTAGAGATTAGTGGATTTGGAGCAGACTCCTTCTGGGGGTGGGATGAGGGTAAAGAGAAACCCCTGCTGGCTCAAAGCCTTAGATGTGTCACCCTGAAAGGGATTGGCCTCCCATATTATGTTAAAACTGTTTCCATTATCAACATGTCATTCACCTACCCATCCACCCATTCACCCACCTACCCATCCACCCACCCATCCACCCAACCACCCACTCATCCTTTCACCCACCTACTCACCCACCCACTCATCCATCCATCCACACATCCCCTCACCCGTCCACCCACCCACCCACTCATCCATCCATCCATCCACCCATTCATTCTTTTTTTTTTTGAATTTAAAAAAAAATTGTTCTAATTAGTTATACAGGACATCAGAATGCATTTTGACATTCTGTACACAAAGGAATACATCTTCTCCATCATCTGGCTGTGCATGGTCAGTCACTCCAGTAGTGCACTCTCACAGGTACGTAGGGTAACAATGTCTGTCTCATTCTACGGTCCTTCCCATCCCCACTGCCACCCCTCCCCTCCCTCGCCTCTGCACAAGCCAAAGTTCCTTCACTCTTCCCTACCCTCTCCCCCTGCCCCACTATGGATCAGCATCTGCTTATCAGAGAAAACATTCAGCTTTTGGTTTGGGGGATTGGCTTATTTCACTTAGCATGATGTTCTCTAGTTCCATCCACTTAGTCTGCAAATGCCATAATTTCATTCTTCTTTAAGGCTGAGTAATATTTAATTTTGTATATAGCACATTTTCTTTATCCATTCATCTGTTGAAGGTCACCTGGGTTGGTTCCATAGTTTAGCTACTGTGAACTGAGCTGATATAAACATTGATGTGGCTGAGTCACTGTAGTATGCTCATTTTAAGTCCTTTGGGTATGAACCAAGGAGTGAGATAGTTGGGTCAAATGGTGGTTCCATTCCAAGTTCTTTGAGGACTGTCCATACTGCTTTCCATAGTGGTTGCACCAATTTTCAGTCCTACCAGCAGTGTATGAGTGAACCTTTTCCCCACATCCTCGCCAACACTTATTATTGCATGTATTCTTGATAATTGCCATTCTGACTGGAGTGAGATGGAATCTTAGAGTACTTTTGATTTGCATTTCTCTAATTGCTAGAGATGTTGAGCATTTTTCAAATATTTGTTGATTGATTATATATCATCTTCTGAGAAGAAGTTCAATTCCTTGGCCTGCTTATTGATTGGGTTACCTGTTTTTTTGGTGTTAAGTTTTTTTGTTCTTTATATATTCTGGAGCTTAGTGCTCTATCGGAGGTGCATGTGGTAAAGATTTTCTCCCAATCTGTAGGTTCTCTTACTATCTTATGGTTTCCTTTGTTAAGAAGAAGCTTTTTAGCTTGAATCCATTCTATTTATTGATTCTTGATTTTACTTCTTGTACCTTAAGAGTCTTGTTAAAGAAGTCAGGTCCTAAGCCGACATGGTGAAGATTTGGGCCTACTTTTTCTTCTGTTAGGCACAGGGTCTCTGTTCTAGTGCCTAAGTCTTTGATCCACTTTGAATTGATTTTGTTCAGGGTGAGAGATAGGGTTTAATTTCACTTTGCTACATATGGATTTCCAGTTTTCCCAGCACCATTTTTGAAGAAGCTATCTTATTTCCAATGTATGTTTTTGGTGCCTTGGTCTACTATGAGATAACCATTTTTATGTGGGTTTGTCTCTGTCTTTTATTCTGTACTATTGGTCTGCGTGTATGTTTTGGTGTTAATACCATGCTGTTTTTGTTACTATTGCTCTGTAGTATAGTTCAGGTTATGGGATTGTGATACCTCCTGCTTTACTTTTCTTGCTGAGAATTGCTTTGCCTATTCTGGGCCTCTTATTTTTTCAAATGAATTTCATGATTGAATTTTCTAGATGTATGAAGAATGTCATTGGGATTTTAATAGGGATTGCATGAAATCTATACACAGTTTTGGTAGGATGGCCATTTTAACTATATTAATTCTGCCTATCCAAGAGCATGGGAGATCTTCTTTAATTTCTTTCTTTAGTGTTCTGTAGTTTTCATTGTAGAGGTCTTTCACCTTTTTTGTTAGATTGATTCCCAAGTATATATATATTTTTGAGGCTATTGTGAATGGGTCCATCCATCCATCCATCCATCCATCCATCCATCCATCAATCCTTCCATACACACATCTAATGAGTATTTATCAAATGCTGCTGTTCAAGACACTGGGGATATAGCCAAGAACAAGCTGCTCAGCCCATTCAGGCCAAACACAAAGCACTTGCTGTTCATTTCTAGTCTCTGAGTGGGTGATGATCATCTGCCTTCTACTTCTCTATCCCCTCTTACCCTTTCCTTCTGCTTCCTCTTTTCCCTCCCATTTTATTTATTTTTTACCATTTTTGTCTTTGAATTCTGTCTTCAGCTGCCTGAGGTGATACTGACCATTTTTAATCACACTCTGTTGCTGGGGGTGAAGCTGTGGTTCCCGATGCAGGCAGGGAGGTCTGTCCAGGTCTCCCCTGGGCAAGTTCCCCATTCCACGTCTCCAAGACTAGGAGAAGGGGGCAGGTGCGAGTCTCCCCGCACCCCGCCGGGCAGGGCGTGATCTTCCACAGGCTCTCTTCCCTTTGGGGTTCCTTCCTTCCTCGTTGTTAATGAACATGACATCAGCAGAGCTATGAGATAATTTGTGTGGAATGACCTGCTCTTCCTGATAGGAGGAGCGACAGTGGAAATACTCTTGGTGTCCCCGAGAGGCGGGCACTTCTGGGTATCTCAGTGCTCTTTACATTTACTTTTCCACCAAATCTGCCTGGTTCCGTGGGCAAGACCTGTGAAGGGTCTGAAGTTTTACCCTCTCACAAGCTAACAGGTTGGCCTGCCACAGAGACAAGAGAGTCCTGTGTTGGAGACAGGGACACATGACTCAGCACAGCCGGTGGCTTGAGCATCCAGTCTGTGCCTGCTGCTCCGGTCACCACTCTCGGCTCCAGAGTTGGGGAGCAGCCAGGTGTATACTGCGCATGCGGGAGGTTTGTGTCACAGCTGGAGGACCTGTAGTTAAGGGCACCCTAATATTTGTAACGGGCTGCAAGCTGAACTGTGTGAACTTTGCTCTGGAAAAAGACATTTAATTTATCAAACTGGGCAGTGAGCAAACCGGTCCTTGCCCTGAGGGACATGCTGTCTCTGTTTCCCAAGGCCACTTGCTCCACACACATCCTTGGAGAGACGATCAAGAACAGAGGATGTCGGTGTCTGTGCAAGAACATGGAAAAGTGTGTCCCTGTCCTGCCTTGGGGACTCTCTGGGAGTCTGCCTCAAGGACCCTGTCTAGGATTTACACATTGTCCTCTTCTATAGAGACACATCCTTGGGACCTGGGGCTCCTTCTCCCTCTGAACCAGTGTCCTGGGGCTATGGAACCCAAGGACCAAAACCTGGGTGACTTAAAATAGCCTGAATTCATTGTCTCCCTTCTGGGGGCCAACCCAGGACAGCAGCAGGGTGCCTCCTTGGGAACCTGTTGGGCCCTCCCTTGCCGCTCCCAGCTTCTGGCCACTTCCGGCAACCTCCTGCATTCCTTGACTTCCGGGCACATCATGCTCTCCTCTGCCCCAGCTGCTCCCTGTGTCCCTCCCTGCCATCCTCCTCTATGTGTGTCTATCTCAGTGTCTGACTTGCCCATTAGTAGGACTTCAGTCACATTGGGTCAGGCCCACCCCCTGGGCAGCATCTTGAGTTGATTGCTACATAAAAACCCAAATAAGGGGGCATTCAGAGGCCTGGGGGTGCGGAGGTCAACCTGTCCTTCTTGGTCCACCATTTAACCCTCACTCCATCTTTCAGTCCAGGATGGACAGACTAGCTGGAGTGGGACCGGGGAGCACTGAACTTCTAGAGAATGTGGCCTTTTCTCTAATTAAGCCACCTTCTTGGGGGTGCCTTTTGCACTGGGGGGATGAGTGGCTAAACTCTGAGTTTTGTTGCTCGGGTGCTCTGTGCCCCCCTTGGTTTTCAGATGCAGACGCGGTGGCAGCCCAGATCTTGTCTCTGCTGCCCTTGAAGTTTGTTCCAATCATCGTCGTGGGGATCATCGCGTTGATCCTGGCGCTGGCCATTGGTCTGGGCAGTGAGTACCGTCCATTATCCAGCAGGCTCTCGGATGCTCCTTCTAGCACTTACACTTTCATGTGCTTCCTCACTCCAGGGTCTTGCTGCCCTCAGCCTTAGCTACTGGGCGCTGCTGTCCCTTTGGTTTGCTGACTGGGGGCTCTGTTTACCTGCATGAATGCCAAGCCTGGTGGGGCTCGCAGGAGCTGTTGGCCACGCTTGGAGCTTTGTCACCAAGGAGCTGGCCAGGGAGGAGTGTCCAGAGGCAGCTGATGAAACAATCCCTGGGGGCGGGAGGGACAAAGGGGGCATTCAGGCCATGCCAGGTTCTCCAGATACTTTCACAGAGAGGTGCGTGTGGCTTTTGAGAAAGTGGGTCGTTGGAAAATCATAGAATTTACAGGGAAATGGATGGCATTAGAGCAGATTATGCTAAGTGAAGCTAGCCAATCCCTAAAAAACAAATGCCAAATGTCTTCTTTGATATAAGGAGAGTAACTAAGAACAGAGTAGGGTCGAAGAGCATGAGAAGAAGATTAACATTAAACAGGGATGAGAGGTGGGAGGGAAAGGGAGAGAGAAGGGAAATTGCATGGAAATGGAAGGAGACCCTCAGAGTTATACAAAAGTACATACAAGAGGAAGTGAGGGGAAAGGGAAAAATAATACAAGGGGGACAAATGAATGCCAGTAGAGGGGGCAGAGAGAGAAGAGGGGAGGGGAGGGGAGGGGAGGGGAGGGGGGATAGTAGAGGATAGGAAAGGCAGCAGAACACAACAGACACTAGTATGGCAATATGTAAATCAATGGATGTGTAACTGATGTGATTCTGCAATCTGTATATGGGGTAAAAATGGGAGTTCATAACCCACTTGAATCAAAGTGTGAAATATGATATATCAAGAACTATGTAATGTTTTGAACAGCCAACAATAAAAAATTAAAAAAAAAAAAAAGAAAGTGGGTCGTTGGAGAAAGGGTATGTAGGAGGGAACGATTTCTCAGCTTCTCCTTCAAATGACTGAATCACAGACCAGTTTACAATGCCACCTGCTCGGTCACGTGGTCCACAGTCCATCCACTCCCAGCCCAGAGTTAAGAGAAAACCGGGAGGCCCAGCAGTTCTGTCAGGGCTACCGGCTTAGCTGGCCCACTGCCAGGTGGTTTTCTTTGACCTTGAACCCTCCGGAGTCTAAATTCATGTTTAGTTGTGCTTCCAAGGCCTGGCCACATAGTAAGACAAAGTGGGGTGCAGCCCCTCCCTCTGGAATTCAGCACAAAAACTGGTCTGGAAGAAATAGGCCACAGAGGAGGATGCAATTTCAAGACAGGTTTCATTATTAATGGGCTAGTCAGCGCCACGTGGCAGGTGGACAGTTGATAGTGTGGTGCACTGACAGAGCTGCTTGCTAACATTCCTGCCCTCTTCCCTTTCCTCAGTCCACTTCGACTGCTCTGGGAAGTACAGATGCCGCTCCTCCTTTAAGTGTATTGAACTGACAGCTCGATGTGATGGGGTCTCTGACTGCAGAGATGGGGAGGATGAATTTCGGTGTGGTAAGGTGCTGCCTGCTCACTGCAGGAACAGGAGGGGGTCGGCAGGACCAGCTCGGACCCTCCCACCTGAGGCCTTCCCTCAGTCATGGTCATGCCCATCCTCAGCCGGGATTTAGCTATCACTAGGCCCTGGAGATATTGGGAGACCAGGGAGGGCTGAGGAGCTGGGGAGGCTACAGGAGCAGAGACCAGGCCTCCAGGAGGCCTCGGTGCCGACAGTAAGGCTGCCCCTGCTCTGTGGAGGCGGCAGCTGTGGGTGAGCCACAGGCCAGATGTGGAGGGGGAGGGCTGGAGCTGGCCTTAGAGCCGTCTCTGCCCAGGCCTCAGCCTGCATGGCCGCTCACAGACCTTCCTCCCCCACGGCCAGTCCGGGTGAGCGGTCAGAACGCGGTGCTGCAGGTGTTCACAGCTGCTTCGTGGAGGACCCTGTGCTCCGACGGCTGGAAAGGACACTATGCGAACGTCGCCTGTGCCCAGCTGGGGTTCCCCAGGTAAGTTCAGGAGCGTGTCCACCCCAGGCCAGGCAGCGAGAGTGAAGGTCACCGCAGGTAGCTGAGCCCCTTCTGCTTAGCTGTGAGCCAGCATCTCTAGAGGAGCAGCCCAGACAGCCCAAGTGACTCGCTGAAGTCGCCCAGGAAACCACGTGTGGGGTCCTCAGGGTCAGGCCAGGACCCCGGATGCTTGCAACAAGTGCTTTGGAGTTGAAAAAGGATGGCTCTGGCTCCCCACTCCACAGCCGGTGGCAGAGGTGGACACGGCCTCCTTGCTCCTGGTGGCCACCTCAGTGTCTGTGTGTTCTTCCCAAGAACCCTGCAGCTCTCATCTCTTAAAAAGCCAGAGGTGTGAGGTACAGGGGTCGAGACACTGTTTACCACAGGCAGAAGAAAGACGGGCAGGGGATCCTCTGCCTCGCAGCTCCGACCTTCCACAGAGTCCTGGTTTCACACCCCGTGCGTCCCTAGCACTGCTACAGTCGCTCCCACAGCTGCCTTGGAGAGTTACGCGGGCTCTACGCTCAGAGACCTGCGGGGACAAGTTCACCCCTCTCCCCCCCGCCCCACGCGCACACACACACACACACACACATGCTCCCACGTGCAGCTGGAGAGCTTCCTGGAGCGCTTTCTGCTCCCGATACTGCGTCTTCCTGCTTTAGCCCCCCTCTTCCTGCTTCCTCCCCCCGGACTGTCCCCCACTCCCCAAGAAGCCCGGCCCCCTCCCTGCAGCCCTGATCACGCCTGTGTGGTGTCTCCCACCGCACGCTCCCTGCCCTCTGTCCTGCCCATCTGTCGCCCCCATTGCTCAGATTCACTTCTGCATTCTCGCTTCTTCCTATTTCTCTTTGAAAACCTTTCTTTGAGCCTCGGCTCTACCACATCCTATGGCAGATGTTTGTGATAAACAAAAGACATAAACAGACCCGTCAAGCCAGAGAGCTCAGGTTCCATCGCCCGTGACTGGTTTCCTCCCTGAGGGCAGGGGCAGCGTGGCCTGCTCCAGGGGGCTGTGGGAGTGGCCTTCAGGCCTGGAGGGGGCTGGCACCAGCAGCCTGCTGTGAGACTCCTGCTGTGGCTGCTGCTTTGAACCGTTGTGGGCCCCAGTTGTGGCACCTGGAGGCCCTTGGCAGGTCACAGGTCCCCGCCATCAAGCTGCCTGTGCACTCGGGCTCTCTTGGGACCAGCCATAGCATGCTCCTTGGTGCCAGGGCCTTCTGCCCTTGCCGTGGTCTGAGCACTCCTGGGAGGGCTGCCAAGGTCACGGACGCAGGCTCCAGGACGTGTTCCTCAGACTCAGGCTTGACTGAACTGTGTGCCCTCCTGACATGTCACTCCCTGCTCTGTGTGACATCCTGCCGGCTGAGCTGCTGTGTGCAGAGTGCAGAGCGAGCAGCCCCCTGTCCCATGCCTGGTTCATTCCCTAGACCGACTTTCCTCTGGGACTCTTCAGATGCTTGAACTCTCTCCTCTTCCTTTCTTTCTTCCCCCTCCCTCCTTCACTTCTTCCCTCCATCCCCTCCCTCCCCCCCCTCCCCTCTCCCCCTCCCTCCCTCCCTCCCTCCCTCCTGCAGTGCTGGGCCTTGTGCGCTAGGCAGCTGCTCTGCCCTGAGCCCCTCAGCCTGACTTCTCTGTCTCACCTCTTTCCTGTCCCTGCCAGGACACCTGCTTCTGATGTCTCTCACATTTTCTTGGTCCTGGGGCCCCTGAGTCACTGCTCTCCCTCTCTGCAGGGAACCCAGCCAGCTCTGAGCAGACAGCCCCATGTTGGTCCCCTGGCAAGGCCACACCTGGCTCTGCCCCCCCCCCCCCCCCCCCCCCCCCCCCCCCCCCCCCCGTGACTGGCCAAGCACAGGCCATTTCAGACAGAGGTGGGACCACACGGTGTGTCAGGAAGCCGTCCTTCCTCTGGTGGCTGGACCAGGGTAGGAGGGCAGGGCCTGGGCCGGGTCTGCGGGGCCTTCTAAGGTATGTGCAGTTTATTTTACCAGCAAAAGGAAGTTTCCGACAGTGTGGGGTGGACACAACGAAGCCCCCCCGTAGCCCTGAGCTGGTGGAGGGAAGAATTCAGCCCCTGTGACCTGCTGAGTCTGTGCCTCTGATGTGCAGCTACGTGAGCTCAGACAGCCTCCCGGTGGGCGCTCTGGAGGAGCAGTTCCGGGGGCACTTTGTGTCCATCAACCACCTCTTGCCAGATGACAAGGTGACCCTGCTACACCACTCGGTGTACGTGAGGTAGGTGGCCCACGCTGGTGCTGAGTCCTCGTCTGGCTTGTGAAGCTGGGCTCAGCTCCGGGAGCGAGTCTGCAGGGTGGCCGCGGTGGTCAGGCTGGGCAGGTGCGGCAGCGGGGTGTAGGAGCCAGTACGGCCCAACAGAGAAAGGAAGGAAATGCAGTCGGGGAGTGACCTGTGTGACCGAGGCAGTGCTGTGCCTGTCACCAGCAGGGACTCCAGCTGTTTGGGAAATGGAAACAGGAAGAAAGGTAGGAAATAAGAAATCAAGAAAGCAACTTGCTTACGAAGTCCCTCAACACCCTCACCTACTTTGCATGCTTCCCCACGGGGAAGGACAACCTGGTGTCCTTAGCAACAAGCTGTCACCTGCAGGTGAGGGGGTTGCCGGCTGTCCCAGGTTGGACGGTGAGGGGGAAGCCGCAGCCGGGTGTTCTGATCCACCCTCTCCTCCTGACGCCTGGGACCACCCCCTGGGCTGGATGTCCTCTGTCTGAAAACAGACCTCTCCCCTGTCCACCCTGGGGTGAGCAGCACCTAGGGCCTCCCTCACGTCCCATGTCCTCAGCCTTGTGACGCTAGCTTCTCTTGTATGGTGAGGCTGGGGCTCTAAAGGCAGAAAAGTTGCCAAGGTCTCGGGCTCCCCTTTCCCCTCATTATGAGAAAGCAGATTCCTGGTCCCCACCAGTGGGGGCCTGTGGGGCCTGTGGGGCCTGTCTTCTTCCAGAGCGTCTCACTGCTCCAGGGAGGAGTCCTGACTAAGGCGTGTGACCCCAGGCTGAAAGAGTCCTGGACGGCCAGGAGTGCTGTCCCTGGGGGCCCTCTGTGTCCCCAAGGGCCAGGGTGTGGAAAACACTGGGGGTATAGACCCACAATGACACCAGGCATGTGCAGATGGTCTGTGTGTCCTCAGAGCCACGCGAGACTTGGACACAGTAGCACGGGGACAACTTCACGATGCTCCAGGGTTAGAGGAGGTGTGCAGTCTTGCTCCCTGGTTTGCTTTTTCTTTAAAACACACCAAAATTTAATTCAAGAGTAAGGCAAATAGAGTTGATTTTTCTTTCTTTCTTTCATTTCGGAGACTGAACCCAGGCGCACTTAACCACTGAGCCATACTCCCAGGCCTGTTTATTTTTTATTTTGAGACAGAATTTCACTAAATTGCTTTGGGCCTTGCTAAGTTGCTGAGGCTGGCCTTGAACTTGTGATCCTCCTGCCTCCGCCTCTCGAGTTGCTGGAATTACAGTGTGGGCCACCGCACATGGCCTGGTTTTCTTTTACATCAAGACTAAGTTAAAAATATAAAAAAGATGTCCATTTCATATGCCTCAGACATACATCTCAAAGCCTGCCAATTTTTCCATTTCAGGGAGGGCTGTGCCTCGGGTCATGCAGTTACCTTGAAATGCACAGGTAAGAGCTTCAGATGGCAGAGGACCAAACGGAAGTCAGGGCTTGTAATGTTCCATCCTCCTCCTTCCCCTTCCACGACGGCTCTGAAGCCCTCCTTCCCAGGTGCCAGGTGGGAACTCTGTGTCCCTCCATCCTGGAGGAGGGGCCAGGGCCAGGCTCACCTGTCAAGTGTGGAGACAGTCCCAGGTGACTTCTTAGCAGTGGACAGGCCTAGGTCCCTGTGTACATCCTGAGAGCCTGGCTCACTGCCACTCCCCCCTTGAGGACACACGGGTTGCCTAGGCCCAGGGGAGCTGCCGCTGGCTCCCGGCAGAAGGCAGAGTTCCCCTTGCTGGGGTCTGATAGGGTCCTCCTCCCAGTGCTCATCTGAGGACCTCTGTGAGCTCTAGGTGTGGCAACAATGTTGGCAGGAGCAAGTCTGAGCGGCAACTCCATTTGCCCTAGAAAAGCCTGTGGGTCTCCCCAGCCCCCTCTCTCCCTCCACAGTCTGTGGTCTGAGAACAGGATACAGCCCACGCATCGTGGGTGGAAACGTGTCCTCGCCGGCACAGTGGCCCTGGCAGGTCAGCCTTCAGTTCCAGGGGTACCACTTGTGTGGGGGCTCCGTCATCACCCCCCTGTGGATCGTCACTGCTGCACACTGTGTCTACGAGTGAGTGGCCTGGCCTCCTGGTCTTCCCTGACCTCTGTTCTGTCCTGGGTCAGGTGGGGTGGGCTGAGCTGGGTGGTGAGCAGACAGACCAGTCACCACGAAGCCTTGTCCAGGTCGAGGGTTCCTGTCCTCCCCACCAAGGACCGACCATCACTGACTGGGAGGGACTGGCCACTCAGGCTCATTTGAAGAGTTGCAGACCTGCAGCTCATGCAGGAAAGGAAGAAAGAGGAGGAGGCCCAGCAGAAGGAGAGCCCCTGAACAAAGGCCCTAGGGCTTCGAGCAGCTAATTCCATCCACAGACTGTGTTATAACTGCCACGTGAGACAGTGCAGCACGAGGTGGGGACAGGGTGCAGGACACCGAGTGCCCCAGAGCAGTTTCTCTCAGGAGTCTAGAGGGCAAGAAAACCACAGAAAAGATTTCCCAACGCAATGACTAATCTCCTGCTATTTTAACCTCCTGCTTTGGTTGCTGTGGGATGAAGACTAGCCCCTGATAGGTCCCTTGCAGTAAGCAAAGCCGAGACTAGTTCTCAAATGCAGAGAAGTCCTCAGTGGTGCAGAGTGAGACCCATCTAGGATATACCCAGGCTGCGGGCCTGATTTCTGCAGGGCAATAAGAGCGTGGTCAGATGCCAGGCACAAATGAGCAGGGTGCTAGACCAACTCTTGCTTGACGACATCTCCCACATCTCCTGGGCCCTCAGGACACTGAGATCAATGGGTGGCATGATTGGGTTTTTCCTGTGCTTCTCCTCTGGGTCTGTTCCTTTCAGCCTATACCTCCCCAAGTCATGGACCATCCAAGTGGGTCTAGTTTCTCTGCTGGACAGTCCAGAGCCCTCCCATTTGGTGGAAAAGATCATCTACCACAGCAAGTACAAGCCAAAGAGGCTGGGCCACGACATTGCTCTGATGAAGCTGGCTGGGCCTCTCACCTTCAGTGGTGCGTCTGGGTTTCTCTGTCATTCCATTGCTCTTCATTTGTTTCAAGAGAATTTGTGATTGCTTGTTGAATCACGTTTATGAAAGCTGCCTAATCTTTACCAGACAATTCCAGTGTCTGATTTATGTGTGTGTTTGCATGAGTTGGTTGTCTTTTCACAGTTCTTGGTATAAATAATGTTCACTTATGTCCTGGACAATATGGCCATTATGTTAGGAGACTACACACATTTTCAATTTTAGCAGACTGTCGCTTTTTTTAGATTTCGTCTGTAGCCTGGCCATGTTTCCAACGCTGATTTAGTTTCAGGGACTTCCTGGTGCTACTCTAATCTCTGTGGACTGTTTGGTGCCATCTGGTGGCAGAAAGCTTCTTCAGGTCAGGGCAACTGATGCCTCTAGGTGGTGGAAGAGAGTCACCTTCTGCAGGGACAGAGCATACTTGCCTGTCCAGGAGCTTGCTGTGTGAGGTCCTCTGCCTGGAGCCTCTAGGGACAGGAACAGGATCCCAGTCTCTAAGATGCAGAGCTGCCCGGTGGGTGTGGCAGGACCTGCCACCTCCTTACCAGCGGCAAGGTACTAGGCATCCTCAGCTCCCTGGAAATTCTCAAAAGAGTTCTCATCCTACCAGTTACTGAGTTCTGCAGGCTCCAAAAGGCCCTATTGCTTTGAGTCAAGTCCAGCTTCTGGGACATTTTGAAAATGATGGAAAGGACACACCTGATAGAACTCTCAAGGGTGTTGGGTTAGAGCCTCCCCAGTAAATCCCCTTGCCAAGGCCATGGGTGCTCGGAGGGCGGGTGGGTCATGACCATGTGGACTCCCCTCTCTGAAACAGGAGCTGCACAGAGCAGCCAAGTCTGCCCACAGTGGCATCTGTGTGCCCCTCTTGAGCCTATGGGACACGGGGAAAGAAAAGTTTCTAGAGTCAAAGGGAATTGTTTGCTGCACACCGAGACACATCTCCTCATTCCTTTTTAGCCTTTCCATTATTGTCCCACCCCGAGAAGCACATCTTGGGATACACTTGCAAACCCTGGGCACTTGGGCACTGTCCCTGTGGGAGGACTTGGGTGGCACAGCCTCACATGCAGGCAAGCTTGCTGCCACTAGACACATCAGGAATGGCAGGAATGCCCACGATGTGGTGCTCCCTAAGCAAAGTACCTACCCGATATCCAGACCAGGGGGCCCAACTCCACCTGTTGCCTGTTTGGGGAAATAAAACCGTCCTGGAGCATGGCCCCATTGCTGACCAGCACCAGTGGCTACTTCCATGCTCCAGAGGCAGAGCTGAGTGGTAGGGACAGACACTGCTCAGCCCTCGGAGCCTGAACTACTTACTATGTCACAGCAAAGCCCTGCTGCCCCTCTAGGCCCACATGCTGTCCAGTTTGGGAGCTCTGGGTGGTGGGTGGGGTGGGCTCCCTACTCTGGGCTAGTTGCCCCCCAGAGATCAGTTGTTTCCTGTGACCGGTGCTTCACTGACCTGAGGCCATTTCCCTCCTCTTCAAACAGAGATGATCCAACCAGTTTGTCTGCCCAACTCTGAGGAGAACTTTCCTGATGGAAAAGTGTGCTGGACGTCCGGATGGGGGGCCACGGAGGACGGAGGTCAGTGATCAGATTCTGAGCTGAGGAGCTCAGAACTTTGGGACTGGGAAGGGGCCCCTCCAGGGTCCCCATGTGATGTCCCTGTGGGGTGCAGAGAGCTGCCAGTCGCGGGTCATGCACTCCCCCTGCTGCGTGGCTGTGGGTCACAAGACATGGTCCCACCTGCCTGAGGACTACACGAGGTGGCTGATGTTCTCAGGGGAGAAATGAGACTCCAGGGAGAACATCAGCAGGGCCCCCCTCCTGCCCCTCCGCCTCCCACCCATTAACTAACATGTGGAGCCGGCCTGGAAGAGACTCCGAGCAGTCAGAGATGGGTATCAGGTGGAGAACTTGTGCCTGTGGGACTTTGGAAAGGTGTGATATTTCATCTTACAAAGGTCAAGTAGAAAGAGCCACCTGATGGGATCTTATTGCTCTGATAACAGCAGAAGTAGCCATGCAGACAATGCAAGCAGCAGATGAATAAACCCAGCCTCTTTCTTCAGAAGAGTGGGGCGCCTGTGTGGTCACGGCAGGGTCTCCATCAACTGCTCCTTGTTAGGAGGAGTGGTGTCGGTTTCCCGTGGTTGCCATGGCAAATGGCTGCAATCCACTGGCTTATAACTGCAGAAACGGAACGTCCCACATCTCTGGAGGCCAGAAGTCGGAGGTCAGGTGTGGGCAGGCCTGCTTCCTTCCCAGGCTCTGCAGGGAAATTTGCTCCAGGCGTCTCTTGAGGGTCTGGTGGCACCCACTGCCCTCTGTGTTCCTTGGCTTATGGATGTGTCACTCCAGGTTCAGTCTCCATCTCCACAAGGTGTTCCTGTGTCGCTGTGCCTCAGATCTCCTTCTCCTTTGTCCTGTAAGGACTCCAATCACTAGGTCTAGGGCCTGCCTAAGTGCAGGATGATCTGCCTTGAGATTCTTCCCCTCATTACATTTGCAAACACTGAGTTCCAAATAGCATTGGATTTCATGGTTTCATGTAGCATGTTGGGGTGGCCCAATTCAACCAAGGGCAGCAAGCTCCCTGTTTTCTGTTAGACAGCTGTGAGCTGAGTTTGCCCTCTGGAAGGCACGCGGGAGCCTACCAGGTCCATAGTGTCCCTGGGCCTTGCTTACCCAGCATTCCCAGCAGCACCCCCAGTGGTGTCCATCCTGGCTCAAGGTCCTTACGGTGCTCACTGGTTTCAAGCCCACCCACCCACTCAGTCAAACCGTCTGCCAACATGGCCTGCACAGGGGCTCCCAGTTCCATCAGAACCAGCCTCTGCCTTGTGGAGCAGAGCAGGGAAAGCAAACCATGCCCACTCTCTCCTGGGAGCGCTCACTCAGACCACCCAGCCCACCAGAAGGATTGAATCACAGGGGACTGGGAAGAGGAGGGGCTGCAGGAGATCCCCCTTCTCCCTGGTGCATCTGCTCAGCTTCCCACCAAGCCCGCATCTCCCTCTCCCTGCTAGGCTCTGTCCCAGGGGCTTCGCCTGTGTGCAGGAAGCTCCTCCCACACACAGAGCTGTGTGCTCGGAGCTCTGTGTGTCTGCCTGCTCCTTCAAGCAGCCCCAAGGGGTGCTATCACTGTGCTCATGTGTGGGTGAGGACACAGGCAGAAGGGAGGGCACCCCTTGCCCAGTTTCTCACAACCAGCTGGCCCAAGGCCTGGGGTCCACCTTCAGCCTCCCACCCTGCCCTTTGCCAGGGCCATCTTCAAGAATTTGGAGTACCCGGAAAAGAGTACTTGACCCCATGGAATCTCTGTGGGGTGGGTGGAGATGGCTACTCAGCCGGACATCAGCACTAGGCAGTCCCACTGAGGGTGAGATGTGGGGAGGACCTGGGCAGACAGAAAGCGCAGGTGACGCTCACTTGTGCACTTACGATGTGGACTTTTATTGGTGTATATAATTACACATATGGTGGGATTTTTTGTTTCATATTTGTACATGAACATAATGTAGCCATGTAATTTGGTCAATTAAGATGTGGGGTTTGAGGAGCACAGACCCACACACCCCTGCTTGTCTGCTAGGGGTGGAGAGGAAGGACCCTCTTGCCTCAGGACTCCACAGTGAAGAGGCAAGTTCTCGTGGAGGGGTCCACCCCTGTCAGTGGTCAGGCAGACCCATCTCAGGGTATTGGTCTTCCGTGGCTGCTGCAAAAAAACGATCCCCAACTTAGTGGCTTAAAATGAGACTTTTCACCTTACAATTAGGGAGGTCAGGAGCCCAGTGTTGGTCTCAGTGGGCTGAAGAGTGTTGGTGGCCTGGCTCCCTCCGGAGGCTCTGGGGACAGTCTGCTCCCCCTTCCCCTCCTGGGCTCTGCCCTTGCTCCAGGGCCAGGAGCTCTCCAGCCTCTCCGTGGTCCTGACCTCTGCTTCCGTCACCACACCTCCTCTGAGTCTGTTAAGCCCTGCGACTTCACTGAGTTCACCCACATAACCCAGATGGTGTCATGGTGCATACCTGTGTCACACCTGCCAGGTCCCTTTTGTCAGGTGCGGTGACTAGTCACAGGCTCCAGGGACTGAGATGGGCATGTTCTTGGAGGGCATTTTTCTGCTGACCACTGCAGGGCTCTGCCCAGATGCTGTAGGTGACCTTCATGAATCTCATTTTCCTTCCTGGAACCTGGATTGGCTGGTGTGTCGGCCACGACAGGCCCTGGGGTGGGGGGACCCTGGCTCAGTTGTCCCCATGTCCTCCTTCACTCCAGGCCCCTTAGGGAAATTAGTGACCTTGACTTGCGGCCCACTGAGGAGGGGGTGAGGCTCTAGGCATGGGATGTCCACAGCAGGTGAGTCTGCTGGCCACCCACGGACCCTGGCCATGACCACCGGTGCAGCTGGGCAGCCTGCCCCTCGTCCCCCACCACCCAAGTCCCCAGCACGCACCCTCTGCATCTGAGCTGGGCCTCCTCCTCCCTGGACATTCCCTTCTTGCTTTGAAGCAGGTGACGCGTCCCCTGTCCTGAACCATGCAGCTGTCCCCTTGATTTCCAACAAGCTCTGTAACCACAGGGATGTCTACGGAGGCATCATCTCCCCTTCCATGCTCTGTGCTGGCTACCTGAAAGGTGGTGTAGACAGCTGCCAGGTAAGGGCTCCTGGCGGCCCTGGGGTCGTGGCAGTGGGCAAGGGTCCAGGAGTGACCCAGCACGTGAAACAGGCCACCACCAGCCCTGTGACTGAACGAAAAGCAAATTTACACAGTGTGGGGAAGAAATTTGCTTAAGATATTTGCCTTTCCTGGCGGCAGGGGCTGGTGTTTGCCCAGTGCTCTGGGTCTGCAAGGCCACTGGACTTGGGAGGGCCTTTCCCTCCTTCCCCCAGCCCAGTTCTGAGTGTGTGAGGGGCTAATAGAGAGGGAGGCAGGTAGGAGCCAGTGAACCCGGGCCCCCCAAAGACACCGTGGGCAGGACTCTGATCCTGCCTGGTGGACCACAGGATGCTGAGGGTCTGGCCCAGGCAGACTTCCCTCCAGAGCTCCCTTGGCCACCTTGACCCTCATGGGCTCAGTATCTGAGACCTGGTGGGAGACACAGCTGGAGGGAAGCTGCCCCCGTGGGGCCTCGGGCCCACGCTCTTGGAATGCCAGCATGCGTTCTAGAAGGGCTGGTGGGGAACACAGAGCCATCCTCCTGTGGAGCATGTGGTGCTGTAAGGGGGGAATTCTGTGCCATGGCCAGGGCACCCGTGCTGTCCCCTTGACTTTTGCCTCTTTCCTGCCATCCAGGGAGACAGTGGAGGGCCCCTGGTGTGCCAAGAGCGCAGGCTGTGGAAGCTGGTGGGTGCCACGAGCTTCGGCATTGGCTGTGCCGAAGTGAACAAGCCCGGGGTTTACACCCGCATCACCTCCTTCCTGGACTGGATTCACGAGCAGATGGAGGTGGGTGCCGGCTCCGGTAGCCCGCACGGGTTCTCACGTGGCCCAGCTCTGCTGTAGAGAGCCAGATGAGCCAGTGGCTACTGACTCAGCAAGCGCTGATTTGGTGGCTTCAGGGCATCAGTCCTCAAGCATGGCTAATCCTTGGTTGACGCCATTTGTAAGGTGTGGTCCTGGCACACTGAGGAGGGACCCCAACTGGGACGAGAAGAATGGAACTGCTTTACCCAGTAGGGAAAAGGGCAGTCCCAAAGGAGCCTCTCTGGGGTGGGGCCAAGTCAAGTGTGCCGTGTGCACCCACAGAGGGTGGGTGGTGGAGTGACCATGGACACCGTGGAATTGGCCACAGAGGGCCCTGGGAGCTCCCTACAGGACTGCCCCTTGCTGGGAGCCAGGATGGAATGGAAATCTCCAGTGTGCGGGGCCCAGGCTGTGCTTCTTGGGGGGTCTGCCTGGGAGAGAAGTGGGAAGGGCCTGCAGGAGAGCCCTGGCCAGTAAGTGGCTCGTCAGGCCCTGGGCAGGCAGGCAGAACCCTGCGCCTCCAGGCAGCTGAGACTTGCTGGGCACCAGGGGATGGGAATTTCCAGTGAACACAGGCCCTGCTGTGATGGTAGAAGGTGGGGGTGACCCCAGCCCTCCAGAGCAGGCCGGGAGGCAGGGAGGCAAGGCCAAGCCGTGGCCTCCAGGGCACCTGGCAAATATTTGCTGACTTGGCCTCAGACTGAGTCTCATATTACTCTTTGGATCAGTTTTGAAGACTAATTCAGGTTAAATTTCCATAGCACAGAATGAACCATTTTAAAGTGAACAGTACCATGTTATTTCTTACATTGACGATGTCGTGTGTCCTCTATGTCACACAACATTGTCATCATCCCCAAGTGAACCTGGTCCCCTTTTAACAGCCCTCCCCACTTCTCCAGCCAAGTACCCACCACCCTGCTTCCCGTCCCTGTGGGTCAAAGACCATTTTAAAATGCTTTTCTCATTTGAAATAATCGAGGAAGAGAGGACACCAAACGCCTAGTGTGCCTCTCAGGCTTGGACCCCTGGTTTTCCCTCTTGATTTTTTTTTTTTTCTGCTTCGAATGAGAAGATGCCTGGTTCCCAGGGCTCAAGGGGAGGCCCACGACTGGTTCTGGTCCCAGCACCTCTGCTCTGTGGCAAGGGCCTGTGAGCAGCTTGCCGTCTCCCCGCAGGGCATGTGAGGCCTTCGGAGCCTGGTCCCGGGTGGCAGATGCCATGACCCTCCTTTCATGACCGGGAGGAAACCTGCTTCGGGCTTCCAAGTTATAAAGGGGGCGAGAGTGAGTCTAAGCAGATCCCAGACTGTCACCCAGTGCGGCTCCGCACAGTGGAACGACCAGATCTCCAACTTGGGATGCATAAGACCCTCCCTGGCTGCTGTTGCCACAGGATCTCCTCCAGACAGTCTGCCTGGGGGTCTGGGCGTGAGGACCTGGTGATTTGTATGCACAGGGTGTTCGGGGCCCTCTGAGAAATGCCGGTCCATGTGCTTTGGCTCCCTGAAAGGCTTTAGAATAAGTTCTCACCACTCTCAGGAAGCAGCCTGCTCTCTGAGGGGTGGCTGGCAGGTGCCTTTGACGCCCTCTGCAGGGCATCTTAGTCATCTGCCACCTCTGACCACGGAGTCTGCAGGAGATGTCCCTGGTTGTGGACCTGATTTGGGATCACTCCTCTGACATCCTGGAGAGACTTAGAAGTGGCTTCCCCTCCCCTGCGTGGTCTCGGAGGTGTCCGCTGTCCTGCTTGAGCTCCGTCATGAGGCCCTTCCAGCCCTGGCCTGGTTTGGCAAACTGTCCTGTCAGTCACAGGGTCGCGGGCACACGATCTTCTGTAGCCTGCTGGGTCACAAAGCCAACTGTTCTGACTCCAGCCTGAACTTTGGAACACCGTGCTAAGTCCTAGGTTCCAGAGGAGGGCATGGGCTTCTCTGGGCGGTGAGGAGAAGCAGGGCAGCCTCGCTGGGCATCGGGGTTCCCACACAGCCGCAGCCTCGTCCCTTGAGGCCAGGCTTGTCCTCACTGGTCATGGAGAACACTCGTCAACGACGATGCTGACCCTCTGTTTTTCACTCCTAGAGGGACCTGCAGTCTTGAAGACAGGGGGACATGCTGCCACCAGAGCTCTCGAGGGAGACGGCCCCGTCCTTCCCTGGACTCCTGTGTGGGTACATTGGACTGAGCAGGTGCTTCCAGGGTTCTGGCTCAAGGCATGAATAGCAGAGCCCAAGGGAGCGCCCTCCTGGCCCTCTTCCAATACTGCGGCCCGGGGCTTTGGGCTGAAGTGAACTTGAAGCTTCTTATTGCCTCCCACTAGGCACAGAAGCAGCCTTTCCCACCAGCCCAGGGCTCTTCTGGGCAGGGTCGTGCAAAGCACTGATAAAGCAGGAGATCCTGCAGGCAGAGCACCATGGCCACTTGGCCACACACGGGGACCCAGGGCCCTGAAAGCCATCCCTGTAGATGCAGCTCTCTCCATGTGTCCCTCTGGATACCAGAACCATGTCCTCATAGCCTGGTGCTTGGCTCCTCCTTGGCCTCTTGCTTCCTGAGAACCCTGCATCTCACTCTTGGCTGAGTGCCGACTACCCGTGTAGCTGGAAGTCCTGAGACTGGAGCCTCTTCTTTGATGTCTTCTGTGCGTGTTGCAGTTTGCATTTTTCTGTTGGAACAGGTTTCTTAGCAGGTTCATGTTGCCTCATATTATAATACAAGACTCACAAGCAAAGTCAGAAGAGATGAAGTCCTGGGTAGAAAGGGGCCACCAGCTCCAACCCAGTGGGCACTAAAAACAAGAAGAGTAGATGGCCGCAGGTCAACCCCATGGAGTCTGTTAATCTTCCGCACACCTGCCCCTCCCAGCTGACCCCCCTGCCCTGAGTCCCATGTCACATAGTAACAGAGGAGGGTCGCTTGGTAAGTCTCACTGGCCACTGGTGCTTGTCACAAATTAAGTCATCAGAATCTGAATCAGTCGCTTTGCATGTGGCAGTGATGAACAAGGTCAGTGAGTTTAAAAGAGAGCAGGATGTGATCAGGTGCCTGGGGAGGAGCAGCTCCAGGAAGCTTGTGTGTGTGAGTGTGTGTGTGTGTATGTGCACATGTGTGTTGAGGACAGATGAAGTACAAGAGCTAGGGCAAACTGGCTGGCAGTGTCTGAATTTGGATCTCCCCACCCACACCAGAGCCATGGGCAGATTTCCACACAGTACAGCCCTTGTGCTCGGGGAACATTGCGAGACCCTCATGGATGCCTGAGGCGGGGGTAGTTCTGAACTCTCTCCATATCATGTTTTCCCTATATATACACACACATCTATGGTAAAGTTTAAATTAGTCATAGGAAAAGATTAAAAGTAATAACTAATGGTAAAATAGAGCAATTCTGAGAATTTACTGTAATAAAAATTGGTGTGGTTGTGGCCTCTCTTTCTCTTTCAAAATATCTTTTGATATTTTACCTTTGCTTGAAGGAAGTTCCTCATGGCTTCTCTTTGGCATACCCAAACTGCCAGCATCACTTCTCTTGAACCTGGGGACCATGAGTAAGTAACATAAGGGCCACTTGGGCATAACACTGCTCTATCATGACAGCTAATCTTATAGTTGAGATGATTCTAAGTGACTAACAGGTGGGTGGTATATACAGTGTGGATACACTGCACAAAGAAATGACTCACATCCTGGGCAGGATGAAGCAGAATGGCATGATATTTCATCACACTGCTCAGAATGGCGTGTAATTTAAAACTTACTAATTGTTTATTTCTGGAATTTGCCACTTTGTAGTATCAGACTATGATTGAGTTTGTGTAATTGAAACTTTGTAAAGAGAAATCTTGGGTAAGAGGGGAACTCTGTAACAGAAAATGTCCAGCCCAGTTTTACATTAAGTCTTTTTGCCCATCTGTCTTTGGAAACAGCAAATATCCACAGAGTGAAGGGGAAAGACTTCCTGTGCACCATCTTGCTTGAGAAACAAGTTTCTGCTCTGTTGTGGCTTCTGCCTTCTCTAACTGCTGCCTAATTTTGTTAGGAGATGTCTGGCAGCTGACGAAAGATCCTGGGTAATGCAGACAGGAAATGAACTCGCGGGTGCTGGGGCCTGAGCCCGTTCTATGCACACTGCATGTTTGCCTGCCTTATTTTCACAAAGGTTCAGTGAGAGAGGGACTGTATGATTCTCTTCCGTGGATGAGATGGTGTGAGAAGTACAGCACTCTCCCAGGGTCCCATGGAGGGCCAGTGGTGTATCTGGGATTTGGAGTAAGTAGCTCATCATACTACAGGAAAGAAAGCAAGACGGAGTCAGACACTTTGGCCTTTGAGGCAGAAGTTTCTTGTGCCAGCTGTTTGGAGCTATTGAGACATGTTAGTGAATCCAAGTCCTGATCAACTCTCCTCCTCCAAGGAGGTATTTGCTTCCACTGCTGCAGCTTAGGCCATTCTGGTGCCTGAAAGCCAGGCCAGGAGGGACAGTCATGGCCACAGCCCTCTTGCCTGCAGCCATCTCCAGAGAAATGGCTGGAGGATACACCAGAGACCAAGAGGGCTGCCCGTGGCTGGTTGGGACCTGAGGGCCAGCTGTGGACATTCCTGTCCTGAGATGGTGAATGTCCCCATAGCCATCCAGGTCAGAGCCACCAGAAACAGCAATCTCAATAGTATTTCCTATGACTTTAACGTTTCAAAAGAATTATAGAAGACCCAACAACAGCCAGGCGAGGTGGCATTCACCTGAAATCCCAGTGACTCTGGAGATTGAGGCTGGAGGATTGCAAGTTCAAGGCCAACCTGGGCAACTTAGTGAGACCCTGTCTCTGTCACTGGGCAACTTAGTGAGACCCTGTCTCTGTCACTGGGCAACTTAGTGAGACCCTGTCTCAATAAATAAATAAATAAATAAATAATAAATAAATAAAATAAAATAAAATAAAAAGGGCTGGGAATGTAGCTCAGTGGTAGAACAATCTGGTCAAATGCTCAGAACCACAAAAAAGGAGAAGGAGAAGAACTAACAACATTCTAGAAAAGAGTGGGGGGAAAAAGTCTGGGGAAAAGAGTGTTAAAAATTGGCCAATAGCTTATTTGCTTTTTTATTTAATTTGACTTTATTTGTTTGGTCAACAATTTAAATATCATAGTTGGCCATAAAAACCTGAATGCTTGCCTTCCTCCTGGTACAGGAGGTGCCTATCTGAATTGGGGACACCCTGATGACTGTGTCCTCCAGTTCTCCCCGTCTGGTGCGGGAGTGTCGGTCACAGATGCAGGGCAAAGCCCTAAAGCCCCAAAGAATGGAGAATCCTGGCCTCGGCACACTGCCTTCAGATGGGCAGGTGCAACTTCTGAGGACCAGCCTCAGCCACGGGGAGGAGGAAGGGACTGAGCCCAGAGGATAGGAAGCCCAGCCAGGGCCAAAAGAATAACACTTCTGTTGTGTGGATCTCCAGCATCCACTCTGATCAGCCCGTTTAGATGGAGTCGACAGAGTCCCCTATGGGCCACTGTCCCCCTCAGCCTGTGACAGAAAGCCTCACTTGGTCTGTGTGACAGGGTTTCAGGGGAGCTGGGCCTGCAGAGCCGTCTGACCACGCAGAGGCAGTTCTTAGCTTGCTGCCTCATTTGTCTCTTTCGGGGAATGGTCTTCGGGGAGTGGTCGGGTTCCCCCTGAACTTTGTGGCCCCACTCTTTCCTCATGATACCTGTGTGTGCGTGCACAGACCTGTTGGTGTGTGTGCATGTGGTGGCACTCCCATGGCAGCATGGCCACTAGCTCATGAGTCACTCACTCCACACTGAGACTCAACTGAGAGCGAAGCTGTTCCATTCTCCCCATGCTCCTGGCCCCAGGCCAGAGTCCAGGACCCATAGGAAGCCCAGGAGCTTGGAGACATGAATGAACAGCCACCACAAAACAAGCCACCACTCCATGGATTGTCCATGGAGTGTCCAAGTGCTGCTGCTTTGCACGCTGGCACACTTCTCTCTTGGAAACAGGCGAGACTCAGCCGAAGGCAACATGAATTAGTAACATGATTGGTTTCTCCACTTACAAGTGCAGAACACACTGGAGGTGAGAAGGTGGAGCCCTGCCACATCTCTGGGTCCCCCTGGGCTCTGGTCTGCATTAGGGTGATCAATCAGAAACACAGCGATCCAAGGTCCAGTTCAAAGAATGGTCAAAAGACTGTCCCAGCTGGCGGGAAGCTGCAGCAGGAGGCTTCCTTCCTAGGAACAAAGGGGAAGCAGGGGTGGTGTTGGAAGCAGCTCTCGCACTGGGGTTGGGGTCGGGTGCGTGCTGGGCTCTCAGTGGCATTTTCTCCCTTCATCTGGGTGCCATGCAGAGGCCCCACCCTCCTCCTGTCCTTGACAAGGAGCTGGCTGTGATAGGGCCCAGCTGTGCAGGCAAGCTGGGCCTTCTGTCCCCTCCTCACCTGCCTCGGCCACTTGCTGACCCCTCGTTCTGCTGGGGGTCAAGGGTGGGAGGATGTGGCCCCTGCACCTGCAATTGCCCCTCTTCTGGCTCCCCTGGCCTACAGTGGCCCGGCGGGCAGGGGTGGGGCGGGAGCTGCTGATGTTGGAACATTTTAATGTCTATGATGTTAAAATGTAGGTGCATTCCAGTCGTGTGGACCAGCAGGTGTGCGGCCACGCACCTCTTGAAGAACAAACATCCGAACTAGGCTCGCTTTGGCCTGTTAGAAACTGACCTGTCAACTCCGATAGGTGTGCAGAGACATGTATTTGTGGTTCTGATTTGGATTTCCTGGTAGCTAACATCTTTTCATGAGACTGCGGCCATCCTCTTTAGTGAAACATCTCTATGCTCTTTGCCCATTTTTTAAGCGGATTGTTTTCTACTGTTGCATCTTTTTATATTCTGGATACAAATCCTTTGCCAGATGTGTAGCTTGCAAATATTTTGTCCCAGTCTGCAGGCTGTCTTTCTGTCCCTGTCCACTGGGCTTTCCTACTTTGGTGTGGTTCCGTTGGCGTTTTCCTTGTACATCTGGTGTTCAGAGTGCCAACTTGAAGAACCCTTTGCTTAGTTCTAGGTTCTCAAAGTTTGTTTTTGTTTCCACATTTTTTACATTGGTGCCTTGAAGTTGTGCATAACGATGGGGTTTGTTGTTACACGTTCTGTAAAGCATTTCCCCTATTTTTCTCAAGGTTCTATATTTTATTATATCTCAGTTTTGGTTCTATGATGTATTTGAGTTTCATATCAGGTGTTTCAAGGCATTTGGTGAAAGGCTTTCCTTCTTCCACTGAATTGGTTTTGCTCCTTTGCCCAAATCAGCCGGGCGTGTTTGTGTGAGTCTGTTTCCTAGTCTCTCTTTTGTTTGTTGATCTGTGCGTCTATCCATCTGCCACTACCACACTGTCAATCACTGTCCCTAAAATAGTGAGCCTACATGTCCTGGGTGGGGTTCTTCCCACTGATCTTCTTGTTCAAGCCTGTCTTGGTTATCCTGGGGCCTGTGTCTTCCGTATCAGCTCTGAAGTGAGCTTGTGGGTGTCTCTAGGAAACCTGGCTGGGCTTCTCAGGAGCTCCTCTCCCCTGTGGCCAAGCCAGGGGACGGACTCTGGGCCTGCCTTCCCAGGCACAGACATGGCGCGCCTCTGCATTTTCCAGGACGTCTGGCTCTCCCCTCAGGACCTCGGCGGCGTTTCCAGCATAGGATCTTGTCCATGTTAAGTGTAGCCCATTTTTTGAGTGACTGTAAATGGCAGTTGTGTTTCTGATGTTAAATTCTGCGTATTCCGTGATAGTGCACAGAAGTGCGGGTGCTTTGGCTGGGGCCTTGTATCTGGGGTCCTTACTGGTTCTCTCAGGAGTCTCTGGGATTCTTTTGTTGTGTTTGCAGATTCATTGGGGTTATTTCATTTTAGAGGCTGGGTGGAGGCCAGCGCCTCGCGCAGACTAATCCTGCCCTACCTCAGGCTGCAGCCCGTCCTCCCGGGACTTACCTGTCCTGCAGATCACCCATCTGCACACGGGGGGCTCCATTTCTTCCCGGCTCATCTCTGCATTTCCTCTCTTCCCTTTGCCTGGTTTCAGTGACGACAACTTCTAGGCCCATGTTGAATGAGACCTGGCTTCCTGGCCGTACTCCCAGCCTTAGGGCAGAGGTGGCCAGTCCTAAGCAGGATGTTAGGTTTGTAGATGTTCTTTTCCAAGTCAAGGAACACCCTCTGCTACTAACTTGCTAAGACTTTTTAAAATCTATTATGAATAGATGCTGGATTTTGTCAGTTATTTTCCATATCAATCATACAACCATGAGCTTTGTCTTCTGTGCCTTGCTGGTGTGATAGATTCCATTCATGACCCCCTAAAATCCAGTCTATAATTTCAGTTATTTTAGATGCATGTTTATGGTGCATCTTGTTTTTTTTTTTTTTGGTACTGGGGACTGAACCCAGGGGTGCTTTACCACTGAACCACATCCCCAGCCCTTTTTATTTTGAGACAGGGTCTTGTTGAGTTCCTTTAGGGCCTTGCTAAGTTGCTGAGTCTGGCTTTGAACTTGTGATTCTCCTGCCTCAGCCTCCCAAGCTGCTGGGATTAAGTTGTGCACCAGTCTCGCCATAACCTGCTCAGTGATTGAACAGTCCTCGGAATGCAGGTGGTGGGCTGTATTAGGAAACTTAGATAAGAAATAAATACAAAGACTCGAATCTAGGTGAAAAGCGGCCCAGTGGGCAGATCAGCCCTGATGGTGATCTGATCGCTAACAAAGAGTGAGACTCCGTGTGCTTTATTTTATAGGCAAACACATCAAAAGGATTTATTGTGAGAAAAGCTTCTTCAAGATAAACAAAAGCAGGGCTGTGGGAAAATAGCCTAAATGAGGGCTTAAACTTGCCTGGCATTTCTCCCTTCTCTGGGTAGCTGGTGCCTCAGGCTACTTGGGCACACAGCTATCTCTTCCACCCCTGGGCACACAGATATCTCTTCCACCCCTGGGCAACTGGCATTTGATTTTAGGGCTATTTGAGCCAATAAATTCAATAAACGAGCCAATAAAGGAGACACAGAATCCTTTTTGAGCAGGCATCACCAGGTGGGCTGCCTTGAATCAGCGAGATATCACCTGGAGTTCTCAGAAGGGCATCACCTCTGCCTTGAGATGATACAAACAAACCCTAATTCACCCACTGCTCCTGACATATCATCACATCTGGCTCATGCTGGATCTTTATGGGTTTACATGGACACTTAGAAAATGTGCTTTCTGCTATTTCTGGTGACATATCCCATTTATCAGGTCCTCTTAATGGGTGGTGTAGTTCAGATCTCTGGTGCCCTTGTCAACCTCCTGCTCCGTAGTTCTACCAGCTGCTGCGAGGGGCCTTGATGTCCCTGTGTCCTGATCTCCTTCTCCTTTCAATTCTATTTCTCGTACTGTGAGGCTCTGTTGTTTGATAAGGACTAACACTTCTGAGGATTTTAAATACAGAATAACTTCTTGAATGCCACACACCTGTCATAAAAATTTTAAGGCTATATGCTCCATTTTTCTCTGGGCCCCATGTACCTCCTCATCATCCCATCCTCAGTGCAGACTGGAAGGGAAGCCCAGGTGCCCGAGGTCTGCTCTCAGAAACTCACTCCAGTTCATCATCTCTGCCCATGGGAAAACCAAAAAGACCAGGGACGCCCTTGGAAAGGACTACGGCATCCCCTGTGTAAAGTGGGAATCTCAAAATATAATATTTTACACTGACCTGGTGCATTTCTGTTGCTCTAAAAAGATACCTGAGGCTCATCCAGGGAAGAGGTTCACTTGTCTCACGGTTGTGGTCCCAGCAGCCTGTGCTGTTGCTGGTGAGGACCCCCTGGCTGTGTCTCAACATGGCGGAGAAGTGGAAGGGGAACTGGCCTGTGAAGAAGGGCCCAATGAGGGAGGAGACCACCACACAGCACCCCGCTGTCACCAGAACTACCTCAACCCCTCCAAGGGCACACCCCATCCTCTCCCGCTAGGCCTCACCTCTTAGAGGCACCCCCTCCTCCACGTTCCACACTGGGGCCAAGCTTCCAGCACATGGACCTTCAGGAGGCAGGACACCTGCAAATCACAGCACAGAGTGACGGGTGGACTCAGCTGCCTGCTGTGTGCCAGGGACAGGCTTCACACAGGGAGCCTAGGCTGGGTGGTGCCACCATGGTGACTTCAAAGCTGCCCCTTCCTCTCACACTGAAGGTGTCAGGATGCAAGGGAGAGGGCGCCATGCTGCCGGAGGACCTCACCTCCTCCTAAGTCATCTTTCAGATGAAGTCGCTCCTTTGAACACTGCTGGTACCAGGAGGCACCACTGCTGGCCACGGCAGCCCCGCTGTGGGCTCCTCTAGAGTGTGTGCTCAGTCCCCGCAACAGTAGGACACATGCCTTCCTGAGGGGCCTGGGTGGTCTTCTGGTGGCGAGGTGGCCTGAGAAGAGGGGCACACTCTCTGGATGCAGGTGGGATCAGGAACCCTGTGGTCTAGTCCTCACCTTACCCCAGGCCCTTGGGCAGCTCAGATGCCTTTCTCAGCCATGTGCCCTGCCCCAGGGGCTGCGTTATAACCTGCCTTAGCCAGATGTCAGGGTCGTCCAGGACAAGGTTAGGGGCCTTTCGGGCTGGTGCTGGTGAGGGGCAGGAGTGGGAGGAGGGGCCAGGATAAGAGGGCACGGGTAGACGGGGTGGGGCCCCATCACCACTGCAGGTCACACGTATCCTTTCCCTCCGGGCCCCGTCTGCACATTGATGCTGTGTGTAGGGGTTTGCTGGGAGGGGCGAGGAGGACACAGTGGGCTGGACTGGGCTGCTTCCTCGCCTGGTACCTGAAATCTATGAGATACAGGCGCGCTCAGCGTCGTCACCTTGGGCCTGTGTTTGAATTCAGGGAAGGGGTGAGGAACAGTCACAGAGCAAGTGTGTCAGCGGGGCGGGGGCCCGGGCACCCCAAAGTCAAACACCCTCTGCATCTTGCCTGACTCACTGAAGGAGGGGAGGCACTTTCATTCCCTCTCTGCTTTTGAGGGGGCCAATCTTTACCCTGCATTTTAGCAACACAGTGTCTCAGTGGCGAAAGTTGATTGTGTGCATTAGAAGTGGTTCAGGCGACCAGAGGGCGGAATCCAGGGGATTCCTACTGAGTTGTCTGTCAACTTTTGTGTCTGTTTATTTTTTATTTAATACCACCGCACGACACTTTTCCATGTTATTACAAATTCCATAGAAAAATGCTAGGGAAGCTTCCCTAGGGGCTGAGGGTCAGGCCTCACTGGACGGACGCTGGGCTGACGTGGCCCTCACCTGAAGTCACATGCTGAACTGCTGTGGGCTTGGTTTCTGAGGCTCAGTGTCAGGTCAGCTAACGCTCGGCCACCCTGGACAGCCTTTGTTTCTTTTCCCAGTGTCCAGTCATGCTGGACGTGTTAGCCTGCCGGGGCTGTGGTAGGTAACAAAGCCCCTCAAAGCGAGAGGCTTCAGTGACAGAGTCGCACCGTCTCGTGGTGCTGGAGCCTGGGGCCTGGGGTCTGCGGCCTGTTCCTTCTGAGGGGATCCACTCCAGCCCTCTCCCAGCCTCTGGTAGCCTGAGTGGTCCCTGGACTTAGATGGCGGCTCCCTGTGTGTCTACCTCGCCTTCCTGATGTACATGTCAATGTCCAAATTTCTTGTTTTTATAGACAAACAGTCATGGCCACCTTAATAACTCCAACGAACCCGGCTTATTTTCCAGGTAAAGACCCTATTTCCAAACAAGGTCATGCTCTCAGGTGCTGCAGGTCAGGACCTCAACATCTTTTGTGGGGATACAAGGTAACCCATAGCATTGGCAAATGTCCCAGGCCATTCTTCTGGGGCAGGCTTGGGAGAAGGGTCACCATATACCTTGTGGCCTTGCTCTAAGACCCCTCCCCAAGGGACCTGGACTCCATTCTCATTGAGGGTCTGTGGGTCCCACATCAACCCTGGCTCCAAAGCCTGGGGCCACTGGACTTCTGAAGGATGCCGTGGCCCCTTCAGTCTGTCTTTCTTTTTTAGATCCCACTTCATTTATTATTTAAATTAATGGGAAAATAAAACTCATACCTATTTGTGGTATGCAATGATGTTCCAGCGCAGGCGTGTACCTTACGGAATGGCTAACTCAGTGTTTAACGTATGGGTCTGTGCAAGTGCATATATTATTTTGTGCAGTGAAAGCACTTAAAGTTTGCTCTTATTATTCAAATATACAGTATGTTGCTATAAACACTCTCTCCAAGATGGACACTGGCTCTCTTGAACTAGTTCCTCTGGTCTAACTGGAACTGTGTGTCCTTTGATGCCTCCCCAAGCCCACATCCAGCCCGGATAACACCACCCCACCGGCTGCTTCCAGGAATCCATATCTAAGACAAGCAGGATTTGTCTTTCTGTGTTCAACTCAACTCACTCAACATAATGTATTCCCGCTCTGTCTGTGTGGTCACAAATAATAGGACGTCCTTCTGGTTTAGGGCTCAACAGTAGGTACTGCGTGTGCCGTGTCCACTCGTCCCTCCGTGGGCCCCACTCCCTGCAGCCTCTGCCCTGTATCCCACGGCCTGCCTGACTGAAGGCTTAGGCAGGGGAATGTGGGCAGGGGGGGGTTCACCTCATGCAGGGCTGGAGAAGATTCCATTGTTCAACATTTCAGGGTGATATTTCTGTCTATATACCCCACCCAATGCCTCCAAGTTTCCCTTGGGGTAAGGAACTGGGGGTGGTGCACAGTGGTCAGCCTGCAGACCTAGGAGACACCCCTCCACCTACAGTTCCAGTAACCCTGTGTGTCCAAGGTGAAGGCTGCTTGAATGGGAGCCCCTGGGCTGGGCCAGGCTCCCTCGGTGAAGGGCCTTAGGTGCCTCGCTCACATACACATTTGCCATGGAGATGTCCAGCAGGACAAAGCAAGTGGACAGAAGGTGCAGGTGAAGGTCCAAAGCCTTGGGGCTGAGCAGAGGGTGGAACAGGCTTGTTCTTCCCCTTAGCATCTCATCCAGCCTCAGTGACCCTCCCTCAGACCTGGACTCTCCACATGTCCAAGAATCACTCCTTTGTCCATCCTGAAAGGACTAGGTCAGCTGGATGGGGCTCTTCCTCCCAAGGCATCCTGGAGTGGGGCTTGATGCCACTGGGCCCTCTTTGGCCATGTGTCCCTATGAACCAGCTCAGTGAGAGCAAGGTGTGGGAGGGACCCGGATCAAGGTCTTGTTGGAGGAGACTCGTGGGATAAGACAGGGACTTTCCTGCAGAATGAAAATTCCTCAGGAAACCTGGAATGGAACCACCATTTGACCCAGCTGTCCCCCTCCTCGGTTTATACCCAAAGGACTTAAAATCAGCATAACACAGTGATGCAGCCACATCTGTGTTTATAGCAGCTCAGTTCACAATAGCTAAACTGTGGAACCATCCTAGGTGACCTACAACAGATGAATGGGTAAAGAAAATGTGGTGTATACACACAATGGAGAATTACTCAGCCTTAGAGAAGAATGAGATTATGGCATTTGCAGGTAAGTGGATGGTCCCAGTCCCCAGCAGAGAACATCATGCTAAGTGACCTAACCCAATCCCAAAAAGCCAAAGGCCGAATGTTTTCTCTGATAAGCAGATGCTGATCCATAGTGGGGCAGGGGGAGAGGGTAGGGAAGAGTGAAGGAACTTTGGCTTGTGCAGAGGCGAGGGAGGGGAGGGGTGGCAGTGGGGATGGGAAGGACCGTAGAATGAGGCAGACATTGTTACCCTACGTACCTGTGTCACTACTGGAGTGACTGACTATGCACAGCCAGAGGACGGAGAAGATGTGCTCCTTTGTGTACAGTGTGTCAAAATGCATTCTACTGTCCTGTATAACTAGTTAAAACAAGTTAAAAAAAATAGAAGGGGGGGGGGGTAAAAAAGAGAGGGACTTTCTGAATCTTGAATCCCTGCCCCTAGATGACCGTCCGCACAGTGTTCTCCATAACAGCACACCCGCTGACCGGCTTCAGCGTGTCTCAGGAACAGCTTGTGATTGGTGGAGGTTGTTGGCATGGAGGGCTGGGGACCCTCCTTAGGCAAACGCTATCTCACACTCTAAGCAAATAGGCCTGCGGTATAAAGGTGAGAACTCGGACAGGTTTCTATCCCTGACTCGTGGTCTGCTCTGGGCCGAGAGGAGGCAAAGTGGCCATGGGGCACAAGGTGACCTGCATCCTGCTCATGGTTCTCATGCTGGCCCTCAGCACCCTGACAGAGAACCCTGGAGGTAAGCCCTCCTGCTTCCTGGTGGGCATGAGAACCTGCGGGAGCCACAGTTACACTCTGCTTCGTTCCCCGCCTGTGCCAGCCACCGGTCCAGCCCCTGCAAGTACAGCCCGTAGCAGGATGGGCAGAGGCAGGTGGGGACCAGCTGTGGAGGCAGGCTCCCGAGGCCCGCGAGGAGGGCCATGGGAAGGAGCTCCCTGGCCATCAGTCTTTCAGAATCGACCCCCAGGTCCCTGGGCTTGATGGCTGCAGGCTGGGGGAGAAGAGCCCCTTTCCTAGGGGTGCGCACCCCTGCTCCCCTGTGCTGTCCGCTCTGCTCAGTGGGCCCAAGCTCTCCCTGAGAGTGCAGGGGGAAGGGGTCTACCATGTCCCAAGGCCTCGTTGGTCTCCATATTTGGACACTGACATGTACATCAGGAAGGCGAGGTAGACACACAGGGAGCCCGCGCTGGAAACAGTGCTCTGCCTGTGGCAGTCTGGTGGACGTGCGTCCTCAGCTAGGAGGAGCTGCAGAAGGCCACTGACCGTGGTCAGATCCATAGCAGAAAGTATTTTCCAAAATTTCTAAGTCAAGGACCTCCACAGAGATTACGGAGGAGCTAGGGAGGCTCTGCTCCCCTCTGGGCCCCTTCCAGGTCCCTCTTGATGCCTGTGGGCTGGGGCCGGGTGGAAGGGGTAGTGTAGGGCAGCAGGAAAGAGGAAGGGTATGGTTTGGGGCCCCCAAAGTCATGGCAGGGAGCGGGTCGGCTTCTAAACCTGAGGGAGGAAATGGCGGGGGAGGGTCCCAGGCTGCTTGGCTCTTCCCCTCCCAGTCCCCAGCTCAGCCTGCTACGTGGTCTGGCAGCCCCCACCCTTGCCCCCTGTCTTGGGGCTGAGGGCTCATCTTGAATTCTGGGGTCCACAGTCCTGTGGTAGCACAAATCTAGAAGGCCGTAATGGCACATCTGGCCCTCAACAGGGAGCACTGCCGTTAGTTCCCTCGTGTGACCACACTCTGCAGGGCAGGACAGGCCTGTAGAGCGCAGGGGCCCGGTTGAGAGACCTTAAACTTCTGTTTGGGGACCCAGCTGGAGGCAGCAGGTTACCTGGCCAGGTGGCCCTCTTGCCCTGGGGCTGTTGATCCTCCCTTGCTGTGGGCTTCCTCTAGACCTCCGGCTGCCCTGTGGAGTGGACAATGGTCACCTTAGATTCATGATGGGAGTCACACCTGGGAAGGCTGATGTCTTTGCTGCAAAGCCAGGAGCCCTCTTTAAGAAAGCTGGTGACACCTCCACACGTGGAAACAGATCAGGAGGGCAGCCCCTACAGAACCCCAGATACCCCACAGCACTGGTGAGTGCCTGCTCTACCTGAGCCCCAACACAGAGACACACGGCTCCAATCCCTCTTCCACCGCCTGCTGCAGTCTGACGGCCACCAGATCCCTTACACACCCAGACCATGGTCTGGCTCAGGCCTGGCTGGCCTCACACACAGGCCATCTGGCAGCTCTTAGCTGCCCCCAGGAGCCTCCCCAACCTCCCCCACAAGCCTCCCCCATGAGCCTCCCTCTGGAGCACTTTCACCACGGCCCTGTTTCAAGCTGTCCCCGGGATCTGTCACCCAGCCCTCGTCCAGCTCCTCCCAGCTCCCCCCCCCACCTCACCTGCCCCTGGACCGGCAGCTCCTAGGCTCCAGGCTGCTCCACATCTGCTCAGCCTCCTCCGTTAGGAAGCTCTTCCTGTTTTGTTCAACCTGCCTGCCATGGGCCTTCCTGGCCAGCCCCACTGTCCCCACGCTCCCCTGAGCACAGTGGTGGTGGCTCTGTGTTGTCATCCATCTCCATGGACTCCTCCGTCAGGCTCCGAACAGCAGCTCTAGTTACAGTTCTGGATCCCATCGCCTGGCCTGGTGTGTTTCTTGCACACATGAACGGTGCTCAGTAAATGCTTATTTATCAGGGGAGTGAGGCTCAACAATCCTTTGTTGGGATTAAGGAGCGAGTGGTTAAGTCACCAGGCAGGTGCGGTGTTGGCAGGCGGGGTCCACGGCTTTCTCTGTGCGCCCCCCCACCCCGTGTTTTCCCACCAGGAAAACAGACCCCACCTCCCTTTCAGACCCAGAAGCGGGCTCAGCATCAGCCTCACCAGATGCTTCCTTCCTTGGAGAAGGAGGCCAGGGTGTGTGTGTGTGTGTGTGTGTGTGTGTGTGTATGATAGTAGGGGGGACTGGCTCACGACTTACGGCTGCTTCTTGCCCTTCCTGCACTTGTAGGGAAGAAGTGTGAGATGGAAGTTTACGAAAGGATGAATTGTGGCTTCCCTGGGGTCACGGCCGATGACTGTAAGAAAAGAGACTGCTGCTTTGCAGACAGCCCTCTGGGGTACCCCTGGTGCTTCCACCCTCGGTCCGCCAACAAGACAGGAAGTGAGAACGATACAGAAGGTACTCCATCAGGTCTGAGGTGGAGAGTTCAGAGTAGTGAGAACAACCCTGTGGGCCCCCGGGGACTTCCCAGCATCGAGGGCCGTGCTCTGCCTAGCTGGGACCCTGGGATGGGGGGAGCTGGCTCTGCCTGCAAAGGCTGGACTCAAGTCCAGCACGGAGAGTCAGGCTGAAAGGCTGTCCTTACCGGGACCTTCGTCACCTCTCAAACCAAACCCGGGGAAGATTCAATCCACGTAACATGTTTTGCTCACTTGGGTGGAGGTGGCGGGAATGAGCATGGAAATAGGAAGGCAGTCATGCTCTCTAAAGAATTTTCCTGTTGATATTCTAAGGAAAAACTCTGCAGTTGTTTGAAGTGAAAGAGAATACTTGTTCTCACTAATGCCTCTCCCACCCGACAGCAGACGAGTATTTCTTCTAGACGCTCTTCCTGTCGACCGCCCAGCTTGCCCCACTGCGCTGCACCTGGTGGCCCCTCCGCCTGCCTCCCCGCAGACTCGACCACTCTGACTTCAGTACTTAAAATCGGCCTAAAATTAAAAGAGATGAGCGTTATTCTCTGCTTTTTGGTTTTCTTTTCTTTCTTAAAACAAAACAAAACAATAAACCACACACACACCCACACACACCCACACACAATGCGTTTCTGTCTTTGAAAATGGAGTGCAGCGTTTTCACTGCTGGTTTTTCCACCCGGATTGCAGACTAGCTGCAAGGCAGAAGATGGAGGCTGGGGGACAGGAGGGGTCCCCATGCTGGTGGCGGCTCCTTGGCTGCTGGCATCAGTGTACATGCAAGGACTGGTATCCTTCCTTGCAGGTCAACTGCTGCTGTTGCCCACCTATTCCCAAGTGCTCTCACCTGAGGTGAGAGTCCTGGGGGTGAGTACTCCAGGCGGGTCTCATCTGTCAGGTGGTCTAGGCAATCTGCTCCTCATGCCCAGTGCTCACTGGAAAGTCTCACTGCAGTCTACATGTGTCCCTCTCGACCCCCATACAGCCCCACTACAGGTTGAAAGAAGGGTCAAGTGAAAGTGTCACTTACCATTGGCACCATCAGCTCTGATGCAAGTGATGTCTCCTCCAATCTGCAGGTGAAAGACACATGCAGGCACAGAGGTCAGGTCACATCAGATGCTCAGGAAGTAGCAGCTCCCAGAACTGAGGGTGTTAATGAAGGGCATGGTGGCTGGGCCAGCTGACAAGGAGGCCATCAGGCAGGGCCACTCCCTTCCGTTGGTCCCCTGGGCTCCCACCCCGTGGAGGGAGTGAAGGAGAGAGGTGAGTGACATTGACTCTTCCTTTCCTTCCTCTGGGTTCCTTCTACCCACGCTCCTCTGGGCACCCACCGTCCACATGCACAGTCCACGGCTCAGCATCAGGATAGGCAAGAAGCCTGGGACTCCCAGGGGAGTGACCCTGCCACCACCAGAAGGCCACCACCACCCTCTGCCCTGCCACTGCCAGGAAAAGGGCACAAAAGAGCATTTGGACAGTGGTCTCTGCCACTGTCCGTCTGGGAAGTCTCGCCAGCCCGGAGATTCCAGGGTGGACTGCAAGAGAGGGGGCAGGGAACATGCCAGGGGCAGGGCAGGGGCCAGAGGCCTGGCAGAGGTGCTGCTGGGGACGGGAGGCTTGAGGTGCTCGGGAGACAGTCAGAGGACAGACGCCGAGGCCTCTCCTGGCCCTGGCCCCGGGCTGCCTCAGAGCTTCTCCGGGCACCTGCAGCTCCCTCAGGCTTTGTGGGTGAGGGGGAACCTGCTGAATTCTGCACACCACAAACAGCGGCAAGTGTGGGCACCCGTGGCTTCCTTCTCTCTTCAGAGAGACGAGGGGGTGAGGCCAGAGGAAGCCCCCAGCAGGGAAATGGTTTCCTCCCACAGCCCAGAAGTACGAGGAAAGCACGGCCAGGCACCAGCTCTGCACACCATCCTGGCACTTTCAGGGCACAAGAGGACGCTCCGGAGCAGCAGGCTGGGTGCTGCAGTCCTCGGAGTGCCCAGGGGGGCGCAGGCAAGCTGTGGGCACAGGGCCTCCCTGGGAGCTGCTCCACTGATGGGGTGGCTGAGCGTTTGGCAGAGAGTGGTGCACGCTCACCACAGGTGCTCTCGGGGACGGGGGCTGAGGGCTGGGTGTGGACGGCCCCTGGGGGCAAGGGCTCCTAGTACCCCAAACTGTGGGGCCTGTGTCAGGAGTGAACACCACGCTGAGCACTCTGGCAGCTCTAAGTGCTGCGTGGAGCGGAGTCTTCTTACTGTGTGTCTGCCACCTGCACAGCCCTCAGAGGAGCTGGGGGACACGCTCTTCCTGCTCTGGGCCACCATGAAGCTGAAGCACCTGCTGACCACTTCCTTCCCAGCTGCTGCCATAGCTGGCTACAGGTCCTAGCCCCACCCTCTTCCTTCTGGCCTGCAGACTACTAACTGGGGAACTTTCTAGAACTTCTTATGTCCTTGAGCTCTTCAGGTAAAAGTTCAGGGAATCTCTTGTGGGGAGACATTCACTTTTTGTGGGAACACAGGGGCTTTCTAGCTGGACAGCAGGGGTGGGAGTGTCCTGTCTACCTGTCTGACATGGATGTGGGCAGTTCATGGTCTGTCTAAGTTCTGACGTGAACTTGGAGTCCAAGTTCGAGGTGGCAGCAGGGCTGGCTTGTCTGGAGGCCTTGCACCTGGGCTGGCAGAGGACCACTCTCCTGCTCTTCCCAGGAAATCACCTGTGTGTCTGGGGTCTGCATCCAGACCTCTCCTCCCATAAGGACATGGCTGTGTGGATTAAGGCCCCCTAAAGACCTCATTCTGCCTTGGTCAGCTCTTAAAGACCCTGTGTCCAAACGCAGACTCCTTTGGAGGCACTGGGTCCGGGCTTGAGCGTATGGATGGGATGGGTGTCAAGATTCAGCCCATAACCCCATGACATGCAGCTGAGGAGCCCTGTCAATGCCAGCTACCAAAGGGCAGAGTCGGGATTGTTCACAGTTATTTGAGACTAGTCAATTCTGCTAGAGATGGTGGAAAAAAGTGAATTTGTGACACTGAAGATGTGTCAAGTACAGATAGTGGGCCACCAGGAGGTTTGTGGGATGTGATCATTGTTCACAAGCATTGTTCCTTGTGGACACTGTATGAGCTAGTGACCTGTGAGATGTGCTGCATGACAGAATGGAGCCAGCAGGAAATAGTCACCGACAGGCAGGGACAGGGAAGACAGAGTTCCAAGGAGCAGCATGTACTTGGGGCTACGGCTCTGCGGGCCACAGGCGGGTGGCCCCAGGACCACAGCCCCAGCATCACAGAGTGAGAGCCTACCTCTCTGGGCCACTCTGGGCCACAGCATGGCCAGGGTCCTTGCCCCTGAATCCTCAGGTAGGTCAAGAACCCGTGGTGGCCCGGGCCTTCCCTCTCTCTGTCTCAAACCACAACTCGGCTCTCAGCAGCACAGTTCTGCAGGAGCTGGAGAGCAGCACCCCCAGAACCTCCCAGAGCCCAGGGCTGAGGTGTGTCCTCCGCACCTGCACCCTGCACTTAGCCTGCTGCCCCTGCCCATTGCCCTCCCTGCACTGTGAGCTGGTTCCCTACTGGGCAGGTCCGGCGCCTCCATTTGGTCTGTGAGCCCTTCTGCTCTGAGCCGCTCCTGTGCTGGGGGCTTCCACTGCTCTGTACAATTTCCCTCAAAACAGGTTCCGTTCAGAGAGGCTGAACCAAGGACCCAACCGGGAACTCTTGTGAAATTTGAGTTGTGGCTTTAGATCATATTTATAGGGTCATTCACACTATCGTGGCAAGATTCGGTCAGCTTAAAAAACTTCCCCATCTTTCCATGTGAGCCTGTTGGGAAAGGTCACTAATGAGAAGGGAACTTTGGCCCGGCAAGCTCCAGTGCACACCACTTGCTGAAAGTGGCTGTGGCCACCGGGAAGGAAGGCTGGTGGCCTAAAGGACCATGCCTACTGTGGCTGGTGACAGAGGACTATTTCACAAGAAGCAGTGCTACTCCAGAGGTAGAGCTCGGCTGTCCCTCCAGCCTGTAACCTGGCACTGAGCTGGATTTTTTTGAGGTAGGCAAAACTACACACACCTGCACGTGGCTGTGCCCCAGGGGAGTGAGCCGTCGGCTAGAGAGCAGCTGTCCCGGAGACAGGCGTGGGGAGGATCGTCCTCGTCCAGTCCTCTCTGGTTCTTCCAGGTCAGGAACTGGGAAGAGCTCGCAGGCTGGCAAGTGACCTGCTACTGTTCCTGCATTGCTGGTGGAAACTGGCAGGTCCCTGGTCAGAGATGAAGGACTTCGTGACTCCTAGGATAGCAAGCAGCACGAACAGCAGGAGGGTGGTTCCCTGGGCCCCGAGACCCCGGGCTGGCAGGGCTGGCTTCAGGAGGAAGCCCCACACTCAGAGAGCTGCGCTGCAGGACAGGGACCCTGATGGTGGGGACCCGAGGCTGCCTGTCCTTTGCTCCAGAGAGAGCACCTTACCTACCCCACAAACATCCTTTGGAAGAGAGACCTGAAGAAAGGGCTGCTTTAGCCTCCTACCCTCATGGGGGAAGGGCGGGGAGGGGAGGGCAGGGTTTCTCTCAGGCTGTGGGGGTGGCCAGGCACCCTGCTCCCAACACAGACAAATGAGAACGGAAGCCCCTTGTGAGTCACATGTAGCCCAGGGGAGGAGGACAGGGTGGGCCACGCGTGGCCCCACAGGGTGCCCTCAGGACCAGCATGAAGGAGCCAGGCTGTGGGAGGCAGCCCTGCAGCATCCGGAGGGTGTGGTGGCGGCTGCTCCTGCAGCAGGACAGGGTCAGCTTGCTCACGTCACCCTGTGGGCTGGCAGCAAACTGAAACCCGCTAATCCCTGATAAGCAGGCATTGTGCTGGTCCCTAGAAAGAAGGGCTGCTTGTCAGGGGACCCTACCTCTGGGAGCAGAGCAGGGAAGGTAACCCACCCCTGAGAGGGTAGGGGGACTCTCCCCTGTGAACAGAGTGGGGACCACACCCCTGGAGTAAGCAGATTTTTAAAAAAGGGCTAGATAGTCACCATTTCAGGTATCATGGGCCACGTGGTCTCTGTCTCAGCTAACCAACTGTACCCCCGTGTCTAGAAGGAAGCCAAGAAGCTAGAGAGGAACCGCGTGGCTGTGTTTCAGTAAAGCTTTATGTAAAAAAACAGGCAATGGGCCCAC